TGGGGCCCGCCCGCTTCGCCCTGGAGATGCACAACCGCGGCCGGCCTGCGGGGACGCGGGCCGTGCTGGGGGCCGTGCGCGGTCGAGTCCGCCGGGTGAGGGCGGGGGCGCCGGGCCCTTGTTCGAGGGACGGGAGCTTTGGCCTAGACCTGGGGGGGCGGCGGAGGGACGGATCTCTGGGGAGGATCACGGGTGCCCGGGTGGGGCCGTGGACTCAGTGAAGGACACTGAGTGAAGAGGTAAGTGGCTGCGCCCACCTCATCCGCTGCTCCATCCAGGCGGGCAAGGGGTCGCTGTACTCCCTGGAGGCGGCCCTGGAGGAGCCACACTGCAACGACCCCACGGTGTGCCAGCTTCCAGTGTCCAAGAAAACCCTGGTGAGTGATGGGGCTCCCGCGGTTCCCTCCCTCCCCCAGACTGAGCGTCGACCTAGATGCTACGTTAGAGAGTGTCTTGATCGCTCACAGAAACAAAGAGCCGAGTATCACATGTTCTCACTCATAAGTGGACCTTGAACAACTACTGTGTTACTGTAGGAAGGGATTGAAAGTAGCAGGGACACTGCGGGGAGGGGGTGGGGGTGGGTAGCTGGGATTGACAGTAGTCGATATCCGCCTGGGGAAGGGGGGCACACCTCATCAATAAGGGTATCTGCACGATGAACGTTTGTATACCTAGCCCCGAATTGTACCCAGTGTCGTTTTTTGTTTGTTTGTTTTTTGTTTTTTTTGAGTTGGAGTCTCACTCTGTCGCCCAGACTGGAGTGCACTGGCCGCTCCCGGTCACCGCAGCCTCGACCTGCTGGGCTCTGCGATCCTTCCATCTCAGCCTTCCAAGTAGCCGGAACTACAGGCGCACGCTACCACGCCCGGCTCGTTTTTGATTTATTGTAGAGATGAGGTCTCGCCAAGTTGCCCAGGCGGGTCTCGAACCCACGGGCTCAGGCAGTCTACTCACCTCAGCCTCCCAAAGTGCTGGGATTACAGGCTGAGCCTCTGAGCCTGGTCAAGTCTCTGGTCTTCAGTATGGGGGCTATTATGGGTGGGGAGGAGGCGAACCCACAGTGCAGGCAGAGGGACAGCTGAGAGGGCTGGGCCCCGGCGGAAGCAGGGCAGGGCAATTGGGAGGGAAGGTGGGGACAGGTGTCAGGTGCAGGTGGCTGGGCTTCCCAGCCTCACCCTCCCACTCCTCTCCACAACCATTGCGGTCTCAGTTCTTTTTTTTGTTGACTGGAGTGCAGTGGCACGCTCCCGGCCACCGCAGCCTCGACCTGCTGGGTTCGGGTGATCCTTCCGCCTCAGCCTTCCAAATACCACACCTGGCTAATTTTTTATTTTTATTTTTTTTAATTTTTTTAATTTTTTTTTTTGAGTTGGAGTCTCGCTTTGTCGCCCAGACTGGAGTGCAGTGGCTGCTCCCGGGCCAACGCAGCCTCGACCTGCTGGGCTCGGGAGATCCGTCTGCCTCAGCCTTCCGAGTAGCCGGAATTATAGGCGCGCGCTACCACGCCCCGG